AGCCAGGGTCAACCCACCACAATAAGGTAAAAAGGAAGCTCTTACTGTCTCATACACAGTAACTAGAAGGCACCCACTGTAACTATCAAGTAGTACACCTAGGGCAAACACAAAGCAGTATTTTTTCCCCGTGCAATTACATCATGGAACTCATTGCCATGAGGATGTTTTGGAAACCAAATTTTTAAAAAATACTAAGAAATGACTAGAAGTTAGAGAGCTATCAATGGCACAATGGTCCAGACAGAACCTCTGATTTAGGAAGTCCCTAAACCACTGACTACCCAAAGTAGGAAACAGATGGAAGAAAACAAAAAAAAAATTAAAACCTCACATGACACCCTACACTGTGCCTTACCCTCTTTGAGCAGCCTCTGACAGGCATAGCTGGAGAGATTGAGCACACCAAGTAGTTGTATTAACTCTGATTCACAGTAATAGATAAGCCATTTCACACAGGCTGTTTGGTGATGGGTTACCACTGGCATTTTTCTTGCAGTACACAAGTGGTACACACAGAAACATGTCAGACTTCCTGAGCAAATCAGAAATGATCACAAGGGCCTACAGCTCCCAGCAAAATGGGAGCAGGAGCAAAAGAGTGAGAGAATTTAACCTAAGAGGCAGTCACTGACTCCATGTTCAAGACCTCAGGAAGTGATCTGAACAGGTCCAGAGAGATCAGAGGAACAGCTAAGCCACTAAACAAAATGTACTGAATTTTCAGATATTAAACAGTAATAGGAGAGTAAATAATTGAGTCTGTCTATAAGATACACGTAATGTTTACAAGCAAAATTTAAACATTAATTTAAAATGTCACTTCTTAATTTTCCATCTTGATATTACCACATATGTATAAAAACAGAGATGCTTGTATAACCATGAAGACTCGGCAGTCTATTGTAGTAGAGAGAGTTTATGATTATTCTACTATTTAACCAGAGAGATGACAGCATTTCCCCTATAACTGTTTATAATGTAGGCTTATAAGAAATATATAAGAACCTCTAATGAAACACATTCCAGTAATCTTTCAACACCAGAAATGTAAAGCTGCTGGCGCTGCTGGCACTGACATATCAAATTCTCAGAGAGGTTGCTCTAAAAAACACTGAATCTGTGCAACAGCTTGGCAGCAAAAGAAGTGAGGACCTGAAGGCAGCAAGTATTATTCATGCAAAAATAGAACAATGGCATTTCAATATTGGATCAGTATCCCCTCCCCCTTTAGTTACATATCCACAGGCAAGACAAAATGTAATGTTTTGGCTATAACCACTTTTCCCCAGATATTAGTTTTTCTTGCTCATGTATAATAAAGACTCTTAAAACAGACAGACATATTAGCAGGCCAAGCTTCAGTATATTTTTGCTGAGTTTTTATAAGAATTTTATTGGTAGGAGCAGTGAATGATACTGGAAATAACTTTTTAGAAAACATTAATTGAGAAAGTGAAATTTTATTAAACATAATACAGCTCCTGTCATTAAATTCTTACATTAGATCCTGTACTATGTTAAAAATCTCTTCTATATTTTATTATTCTCTGTAAAAATGTACCAACCATACTTCTGCATACAAGCTCTGGCTAGTACACCATAAGAATGTACAAGGGACTGTTCCTGCCCGTCACAAGCTCACCATGTCTGTGACTCACATCCTTAAACAGACACTCAATCTAAAGATCACAACTGAATTAAATGAGGGTAGTGCACGGGTGTAGTGTTTTGCCTTTACAGATGCCTTGAAAGACTGAGGACAAAACTTTAAAAGAAACAATGTACAAAAAATTTCGAACCAGTGACTGGAAATAAGTGACAAGCTCATGTGGAAAGCAGAACAAGTATTAGCTCAATAATAACACTATGACTTCAAAATTAGAGAAAGATTTCTGCAATGGGCTGGACTACTGTAAGCCCAATGTGTCTTTCACCAAGAAAATTTCAGATCGGACTCCTACTGCAGACATCCTTCTGCTGTAAGCGCCTCTGCAGTTCTCCAATAAGATCACTTAAATTTTACTCATCAAATGCCAAATCTTCAACAGAAATTGCAATACAATGATACTTCTAGTGAGTGCTGGGAATGTCTTCGTCATCTGTTGTCCACTGACTCCAATTCCAAGCTGCTCCCAGGCCATGGCTGGGAAGCCCCAGTCATGCCAAATCCTCCCTGACAATAGCCCTCAGCAGCACTCCAGAGCATCCTTTCCACATTCGACACACATTTTCTTCTGAGGCCATCACAGGTTTTTTTTGCTATAATGCCTTATCATAATTCACCTGTATCAATGGCTCCAGAGCAGTCGCTCGTATGTTTTTTAAGGAAATCTTTAAAGGTATTTGCTGCTTTCTGATCCTTTGGGCAATGGCTAACTCTATGGGGCAGGCTAGCTCCGAGGATGACCCTTTTCTCCTGTAACTACAGAATCAGTGTAAATTCCATACAAAAGAAATAAAAGGTAGATCTAAACAAAAGGATCTGATCTTTGAATATTTACAGTGCTTGAGTCTATATCTAATTATTTGCCTGGAGTCACACTGTCAAAATATTGAAGTCAACACAAATGATTTTCCCCTAAATTATATGGGAGTTTCTCTTGAGCTTTACAGATATGGACTCTTTGGTTTTGGTTACAAGTACCTCACAGAGTCATCACAGCAGCCTGTGAAATTACTTTTTGCAGGCCACCCAGATTCCACAGTTGTCTAGGGAGGTGGGAAAAATCACACATAATTCAGCTACATCAAAGAAAATCTTTTTTCCCTAGTGGAAGGTATTTAAGTATGTGCTTGGCTTGAAGGATAAGAGCACACTTAAAACGATAGGGGTCAAGACCATCTCAAATACTTAAACTTTTCAAATAACTAGTATCTTGCTGAGTCAGTTGCAAATTGGACAGATAGTACAGTATGTCATCAGAAATGAAAGAAGACAGGAAAATAAGCGGTCTTAAAAGTTCTTACTTATATGCTCGTATATGTTCATACAAGTAGGTTTTCTTTGTACAATGTAAACATCTACCTAATTTTTTATTAGTTCATTTATGTCATTCCAATTTGTAAAATAAGGCAATGTTTCTAACCTTTGAACAAATTTTACCTTTAAGTCAGAAATAAACCAGTGTACTTTATGTGTATCACACTTTTGTATAAATTTATTTAGCTTATGATAACCTGGGACATAATCTAAGCATTCAAAGCAAAAATCATTGCACTCATTAAAGATATATAGAAAATAAACATTTTGACAACATATATTTTGCACTTATCATTTGTTTTTTATCCAACCTTACGTGTTGGGGCAGCGAGCCTGAAACTGTTACTTAAACTGGAATTTGTGCCAGGAATCTAATTCACAACTTCTGAGTCAGCTCTCCCACCCTCGCTGGATCTTCAAGCCTTGAAGTAACATAGTGTGCACTTACTCTAATTAACCGCTTTTCTAGTGGCTGTGGATTTCAAAAAACAAAAACACAAAGTAGGGGTTTTTTTTTAGCACAGAGAAGGATATCTAGAGACTACCTTTTATTGTTTCCTGAGGACCACACGTTACAAATTGCTGAAGAATAGTATCATTGCGTCGGGAAGCAGCTGCGAAGTTATGGCTCCCATCAAAGGCTGATTTTTGAAAGACTCCCTGGTCTGAGCGTTCCTAAAGGAAAAAGAGAACCGCACATTGCATCAAAAGAATTAAATGTTCAACAATGCAGATCAGCTATCACTACAGTGCTCAAATATAGTGTAATGCAATGCTCACTGTACATGCTTCCTTTCAAATGCGAAACTTGAAAGATATCTTCAAAATGACTATGTGTTTTTGCTGACCATGAAACAAGACAATATCTAAGCAATAACAATCATTAAGAATGATGCACAAAAACAAAGAATTCTTTTTTTTTTTTTTATGACCCACAACTGGCTTCATTCAAATTCTCCATCTGGGAGGGCAGCTTGTGACATTGTCAACACAAGAACACGGGCAATGCCAATGGTATTTTTCTGCCAGCCAGCTGGTTCCCTTCTCTCTGAGACTGGGTGCATATGTTCTGATGATCACACACTAGCACAGTTTTGCAAGTAAGGAGTTACACCAAACTCCCAAACGCAGGTCTTCTGGCTAGCAGCTAAACAAGCTCCTGTCACACCTCTAGTCAGCTTTTCTTTTGAGAAGTTTCTCCCCCGCCATACATGCCATATCGCCTAATACATTCTCCTGAGCCGTTGCTCAAAAGAAAAAAAGGGGGGGGGGAATTTATCACGGTTTCTAAAACTGGGACAGACCTAGAAAGATGTTTCTATACCCGTTATTCAGGGAAAACAAAAAACCCACAGAGGGGAATATTATGGCTAGTTTTCAAAATAAACCTTACAGTTTCTGTGATCTTATATCTGTTTTTGAAGGGGCCTCCAACTGGCTTCTATTTGTAAAGTGCACGTTCATTACACCAGCAAATGTTACACTAAATATAGAATTCCTTAAATTTCAGTCACATCTACAGAAGAAATGCATGTATCTAACCCATACAATTTCCTTGTAAAATGATGCAAGAGGTTTAATGCATTGGTAAGTGATTGCCTGCAAACCAACGCATAAGAAAGGACAGTGAGTTACATCACCTTGCAACCTGCCTTTCAAGCTCAATAATAATAAAAATAAAATATATATAAATTAGTAATAATATAAATCATGATATAATAAAAACAAGAAAAAAATAAAATGGCCAAAAATGCACCTCAGAACACAAATCAATGCTGGGATGCTCATGGTGACAATGTGACTCCAAATGAAGTCTCAGTGGACAGGCAACACATGAAACTCCTTCTCTCCTCCTTCTCAGTGGAGCATGAGCCACTTGAAAAGGCTGTTTTGAACCTTTGGACAGAAACACACACCCCACACAGCCACTGACAATGATGTTTCTTCTCGTTACTGGAAATTCTTTAGTTTACATAAGATTCCTTATGTTGTGAGGTCCACCTTTACTACTTTCTTATGGATACTGCTGGCTACATTAAGCCTTGCAACATCCAAACTACTACTACACTGGGGACTTGTACCTAGTGGGATAGAGCGCCTTAAATTAACAGCAACAACAAACCTGCTTTTCAAACTCCTTGATAAATGACACAATCAATATCCCAACAACTGATCAGTAACCAGCCTAATTAGAGTATTCAGCTTATAAAACATAGCTGTCATGGAAGACCTCCATTAGTGTCCTGACCAATAAAAACAATAATGAATTTCTAAATGTATTCTCCTTCTACCAAGCTGAGATGCAGTACTGAGGAAGCTGGTTTGGGGAAAGGAAAGAATGGGCAACAACCTATTTCTGCTGTGGTCTCCAGACTCAAATGGAATTACAATTGAACCTAAAGACTACCCTATAAAAATTAATTCCTGTCTAAAATGAATTTGATTCAATCAAGACCTCATTATGCATTCTTCATAGGGCATGAGTCAAGATTATTTACCTCTTTCATACATCTGGATAATATGCAACACTATACACTTAACTATAAAAAGCAGTCTCATACTTTTACTAGGTCAAACTGATACTTGATTGGAAGTGGGATTTTTTTAAAATTTTGGCTTTGTTAAATGAAGAAAACTTCCAGACGTTTGCAGAGCTTTATTTGAAGGTGAGCCCTCTTTCTTATGTCACAACTGTGCACAATAAATAAAACGTATACTTTATATTCTTCCTTACAGTATAATGCTATGTTGCATAGAAAAGGAAAGCAAAAATGTGTTTTCCTCTAACACACTCCAGAATTGCTAATGAGTATTTTCCATATTTTCCTGGCACAATTGATAGCAGTGAGGGTTTTGCAAAGTGTCCTCCCAAAGTTAGAGCATAATGTTCAGAACATAATATACTTCTAAGTCTATTTCTCATTCAATCAATGATAGTATAAATCAAACAGAAAGTTACAGAGGAAAATATTAAGAGTTAATTATACTAAAGATCCCTGTATTCTCTACCCCTCTGATATTTTATGCAAATACAACCACAAACATAATTATTCTTAACATTTTAAAATGTTCCAGCAGTGCTTATTTAATGAAGAAGCCTGAAATCATCGCTTGGAATTCTATAACGGGATATATTACAACATTTTATATCACAAATCTACTTGTATGCATTTTTATTTTAAGGAACTGTACACAGATGTTGAAAAACTGTTAAAATATTTACTCAAGAGTCAAAATTAAAACTGGGGTGAGTAGTAAGGGCAGCCAGTATACGTACATACATTTT